CCCCATTAAAATTATACTAGTGATGTACCAGACTGTATTCTCTTCACAAAGTCTTATAGCAAAAAGTGTAAAGAAATTTATATAACGACAGCGTATTTTTTTGTCACAAGGAAAATGCGATGAAATTCCAGATACTTCATGAGACTGAAATTTATGAGACTCCTTATATCTTTAGCTGTTCCCAGTACTAAACGCTTTTCTTTTCCCCTATTTACTTCTATTATTTTTTGCAGACATCATATTCCTGCCATTTTCGTAGACTCACGGCTTGAAATTTTGACCGCCATGTTTATATAACACGCGTTAGCACGTTGTTAGGTACTTCTTATGTACAAAATTCTCGTTAAGTTCAAATTATAGAATTTTTTCACAATCTAAGACCGTGTTTTTCACTTGTTTTATATTAGGATATGGTTATGGCAAAGGTGTTTACTTTGCAAGGGATGCGTCGATGTCCGTTGGTTACGCTCCGGCACACTGGGCAGGAAAGAGATACATGTACTACTCAAGAGTAGCAGTTGGGCAGTATGCTGTAGGTAATCAAAGCATGTTAGTGCCACCACAGAAAAGAGGCTATGGTAATGATTCCTATGATTCTACTGTCAACAACGCCAGAAATGCCACAGTTTTTGTTTTGTATTATGATAATCAATATTATCCAGAATACTTAATCACCTTTGTTTAGATGAAGATAAATGAGAAAGTGTTATACAATATAGGTATCGAGGTCGTTAGACCTCATTTGTGCTATAGGTGGATTGCAATCTATCTCTTACTCATTAAGACAATGAAACGACGGTCATATTAGTGCCAAATCCAATGGAAGATGATTATATTATTTTGTTGAAATACCACCAACATGGTTTCCGTAATGTACCGTCCAATCGACATACTAGATACCTCAAGATTACCGTTTAATTACGGCAGACCGCTAACCTCAAACTTCAACGGTATTTGAAGTTTACAAGTTTCTACAAGTTTACAACAGCAAAGTAGCTAATTCATGCTTCTATTTTTAGTATTTTTATGCACAAATTGTATTCAATCAGCTAACAGTTGACACAATTCATAAAGTTTGCACTAGTTTGCCTATTGCGGCTGGCAGTGTGCCGTAAACGTCAATCCTAAGGTCTCTATATTTATTCTGATTTCAATCTCAGTTTCAGAAACAACTATAACAAAACGTGGAAAACGGCACTTACAAATTTAGGTTCGATATAATTTTGAGCAGGTAATTGGGCAACTCCATCTCAGGGTTTATTTTAAGAAAAATTTAGAACTGCACATATTAAGGATGTTAGGGGCGGACCATTAGAAAATGGGGGAGGGGGGGTGGCAATTTTTTCGGGCAGGATATTTTTTTTTGCAACAACGTTGTGCAAGATTTTTTTTTTCAGCCATGCTTGTGTTGCACGATTTTTTTTTAAAGGAATGTGAACTATAA